TTAATATGGTAGAAAGGGAGGAGGAAGAAGATATTGAGGAGGAAGTATATTGTGGACCTGATAGGGAGGATGAAGAGGGTCCATATGAACATGAGGAGTATAYTTGTGTGGTAAGAAAATTAATGTTGTCCTAGAAAAATAAGGATACTTCTCAAAGGCATAGATTATTTCGTACCAGATGTACTACTGCCAAGGGAAAATTATTTAATTTAATTATTGACAGTGGCAGTCAGGAAAATATTATTTGTAGGGATGTCATCCAACAATTACAGCTGATTCCTGAAAAACACCCCAACCCATACACAATTGGGTGGATCAAGGAAGGAGGCGGCGTATGAGTGGAAGAACGCTGCAAGGTACCTTTTTCAATTGGTAAGTACCATGATGAAGCATATTGTGATATTGTAGATATGGATGCTTGCCATATTTTGAGGCCTTGGCAGTTTGATACAGATGCAAGGCACATGGGTAGGAAGAATACCTACCAACTTGAAAAAGATGGTACACGTTATACTTTGTTACCCATAGCAGAAAAAAATATTACAAATGTTCCAAAAACACATGAGAAGAATTTTCTTACCATCACCCATCATCATGCTGAATTTGTTAAAGAATGTAAGGATACTCATGAAATACATTTGCTAGTAGTAAAATGAGATGTTAATGATGAAAGTAAAATCCCAGCATAAGTACAGGGACTACTGGATGAATTCAATGATGTAGTTCCAGAGGAGTTACCAAATGAACTCCCTCCCATGAGAGACATACAACACCATATTGATTTTGTTCCAGGTGCCAGTTTACCTAACCTCCCACATTACAGGATGAGTCCTAAGGAGAATGAAATCTTACGGGAAAAGGTAAAAGAATTATTAAAAAAGGGACACATTCAAATCAGCATGAGTCCTTGCGCAGTACCTGCCTTATTAACACCTAAAAAGGATGGCAATTGGAGAATGTGTGTCGACAACAGAGCCATTAACAAGATCACCATTGGGTACAAATTTCCTATTCCTATGCTGGACGACATGCTGGACCAGCTTAATGGAGTTGTAGTCTTCTCAAAGATAGATCTCAGGAGTGGATATCATCAAATCAGGATCCGTCCCGGAGATGAACGGAAGATAGCCTTCAAGACTAGAGATGACTTGTTCGAGTGGTTAGTTATGCCCTTTGGACTAACCAACGCACCCAGCACTTTCATGAGGCTGATGAACCAAGTATTGCGTCCCTTCATTGGTAAATTTGTGGTAGTCTATTTTGATGATATTTTGATATACAACAAATCTATCACTGAGCATGTGGGACATATTAGGGAGGTCCTGAAGACATTGAGGGAAAATAAATTATATGCTAATTTGAAGAAATGCATCTTCATGAATGATAATTTATTATTCCTGGGATTTATCATTAGCAAGGATGGTGTGAAAGTAGATGAAGAAAAAGTGAAAGCCATTAGGGAGTGCCCCCTGTCCACTGTCACAGATGTCAGGCGATTTCATGGGTTGGCAACCTTCTATAGGCGCTTTATTAAGAATTTTAGTAGTATCATGGCTYCCATTACTGAATGYTTGAAAAAKSGTAAATTTCAATGGGGAGAAGAACAAGAGCAAAGTTTTGCTCTCATAAAAGAAAAATTATGTTCTGCTCCTGTTCTTGCCTTGCCAGATTTTAATAAATTATTTGAAGTTGAATGTGATGCCAGTGGAGTTGGCATAGGGGCTGTATTGTCCCAAGAAAAGAGGCCCATTGCTTTCTTCAGTGAAAAATTATGTGAA